GAGAGGGAGGTCTGGGCCTCCCTTCTGAAGCTGCTGCCCCCGCGACCCGACCCCGGATAGGCGGAAGAAAATGGATGGATGGATGGATGGATGGATTAAGAGGGAGTTTTTCCATTTTGTAATAATAGTTATAGGGAAAATATTAGATCAGCAATTATTTTATTACCCATTAAATTGATTTCTGGAGATCATTCAAGGTGCTTCATGACCCATAATTGGGTCCCAAGCCCAACTTTGGGAACTAAAGTGCAGTGGCTCCCAAACTTTTCAGTTTTTGACCCACAAAATAACAGTAGCAGAGACCTGTGGCCCCAACTATTTTTGGATGATAAACATTTGTATCATATCAACAAAACATGGACATTGTAACAATATTTTTTATACTACATTTATACATTTTAAACATACTAACCTCACTCCTTTGTAACATTTAAGGCAAAAATGTCATTAATTGAGAAAATCTTTTCAGGACCCCACCATGATGTTTCAGGACCCCACTTTGGGTCCCGACCCCAACTTTGGGAAACACTGCTTTAGACTGATTTCTTTATTCAGTGCCCTGAAACGTTTGTTGTGACGTGTATAAACTGAAATGAACATGATGCTGATGAAATAATAATTTAACCTATTTACAGCATAAAACACAAACACAGACACTTGGTGGCACCTCTTTGATTTGAGTTGATCAAAATTAGTAGTTCGCTTTAATAAATCAGTTTCTTACCAAGTTTTTCAATAGCTTCATAAGCATTTGATGGCAGTCCACCTCTGCATGCCTGGTCCAGTCCATCACAGTCAACTAGTTCTGTAACAAAAGCATCAATAAATCAATACATCTGGATTAGTAATTTATTTCTACTGCTGGAAACATGTTGAAGGGATATTTCATATCTTTTGAAGTATGGTTTTGTGGAAAGGTTATGCAGAACTAATTCCTTACCTGTTGTAGATACAATGGATATAAAAACTACACACCTGTTAAATCCCAGGTTTTTGTGATGTAAAAAAAATGAGACCAAGATAAATTATTTCAGAATTTTTTCCACTTTAATGTGAGCTATAGTCTGTACAACTCAATTGAAAAAAAAAATCTTTTTTTTTTGGGCGGGGGGGTGTAAAGTAAAAACAAAAATAAAACAAGGTGTTTGCATGAATTTGCACAATCTTAAACTAAATATTAGTTGAAGAATCCTATTAGAGCTCAGTTTTTTTGGGGGGTAGGAGTCTATTAGAATGGTACATCTTGATTTGTGAATATTTGCCCACTCTTCTTTGCAAAAATGCTCCAAATCTGTCAGATTGAAAGGACATCTTTTATGCACAGACCTCTTCAGATCATCCCTCAGATTTACTGAGAATCACGTCTGGACTCTGGTTGGGCCATTACAAAACTTTAAAGGGCCTGTGACATCAAATTTTTGTAAGAAATATGAATGTTTTTTTGGAAAGATAACACTGACAACATATTGCAAAAGAAATTTCACGCTGCTGAGATGAACAGTTGTTGAGATATTTGCATTTGAAGTAACAGGAAGTGATGTCAAAGATGAATGTGAACAGAGTGTTGCTACAACAGCTGATAACACAGACTGTAGAGAAGAATCTGATGTTTCTTTAGATTAATTTGAGTCACTATCAAAGAGAGATGAAGAAGAGTTAAAGTTTAAATAATATTGTTTTAATAAACAGAGACCAGAGAGTTTATT